TCCTTCCTTCCTTCCTTCCTTCCTTCCTTCCTTCCTTCCTTCCTTCCTTCCTTCCTTCCTTCCTTCCTTCCTTCCTTCCTTAACATAATATAGGTTTGCGCCATTTGCCCTCCCCTCATAACCCTTAGGAGAGCCCTGGTTAAGCCTCCTCCTCCTCCTAGACTGACTTGTGGAACTGCTTGGCACTTTGCTGCAGGGAGGTGGACCAAAGGGAGCCGCAGACCATGAGGAAAACTGCATCTCTGCTCCCCATTCTGGCATGTCCCCAAGGGCCCTCTCCCTCAAGGGAGGAAGAGGGCTCACCCGTCAATCACTGGCGTCCCCAGCCTGCCCTACATCACCACTGGCATCTGAGTTGCTCCCTCATCCTTTCCTCAATGCCAACCGCCATTAAGAGATTTTGAATTTCTGCCTCGTTTCCAAAGCAGCCAATCACCACTCACCAATTGGACACAGGAGACAGAGGGAGGCAGGAAAGAGGTCAGGGATACACCCATGATAATCATATGACCTGGGCTGACCACGGTGGCGCAATAGTGCAGCCATGCTGAAGTGGCCACAAATTTCCCAAATTTCAATCCCACAGGAGTAATGGGTCCTGGAATTTGGACACATTCTGTACGTTAGTCCATTTGAGGTACCTTGGTTCAAAAATTGTTGCCCTATGACTCACCATTTTGCCCAGCTGAAAGTTATAGATACAAGAGTTTTAGTAGCATATAGATAGATGCAGCTTTAATCCTTGAAGTGTTCTGTACTCTTTTAATTGACCAGATAGACTTAACAGATGAAAAGTCTATATGCTCATTTATTTTTTTCAAAGTTGCATTCCCCCAATCCAAATACTGTATTGGATCTAGGCAGGGCAGTGTACACTGGTATCAGAAAAGTAAAAAAAAAAAAAGTTAGAATGGCAATTGCTGACATAACTGCTTTGCTTGGCTCTGTTGGCAGGAATCTCATGCAATAGTAGATTGTCACACCACCTACATTTTAACTGCTAAACAGTTGTTTCATACAAGTGATAACAACAGGTAAATCGCTGTAAATTCAGTCAACTATAGGAATTTTTCCATACTTCAGCAAGAAAGATTTTTTTCAGATACAGAGTTTGTCTTCTGATTTATATTTTAAAGGGAATGTATTTCTCTTAGATCTGTTACAAATCTGTTTGTATCTTGCCTCAGTTAAAAACGGTAGGATGAAAGAAGTCCTTACTCAAAGTGAACATTCTGAAAAAGTAACAAAGAAAAAAACAAAAACAAAGAAGAGTTCAGTCAGTCTAAACTCTTAAATAAAGCTTTCAAGGCTTTTAAAGGTGTTATTTCTGCAGCAAACCAGCTATCCAGTCAAGGCATATCTGGATGATATAGAGACCTGGGAGATAATGTAGGAATCTGTTGTGCTTTGACCTTTTCTATGTAAAATCTGAAACCAGAATTCTACCAAGGTGAGGTTGATTCATCTAGTGGAATGCTTGAAGCTATGATCAGTTAACTGGATCTGCTCCAAATGTGAGCACAGCCATTTTCTAAGAGAAGCAAATATGGCTTCAAAAACAGAGCACAGTGGCCAGGGAGTGGTTCAAAATGTATTTTAGCTTTAAATATGGATGCTAAGATTGCATACTGGAAGGCTGGGATAGGATATGTAGGCAATGTTTGGCCACTATAGTTTATGAAAGCAATCAATGATGTGCTAGTGTTTACATTTTAATTCTTTCTACAGGCAAGATGTAGAGAGTCTGAGTCTGTGTCTGTTTACTGCCCATGTTGCGGTCATGCTTATCTGAGACATTAATGTCTACACATTGATGAAAAGCTATCCCAGAAGACAGAGAAGGTATTATATTGCCCTAGCCCTAAAATAGGCCACAAGTGAAAATTTGTTTGATGCTGAAGAACACTTTGGAGAAAGAAAGAAAAAATCCTTCAGGTGAATGAAGGCTAGATCATTTAGATATTTTTAATAAATGAAAGTTAATAAGTTTTTAAGATTCACAAGTGGGTTCAAGAGTAGCACGTGTTAATGACAGCACTTTTGCAAGAATCTGATTTTCAAAGAGGTCCCAAGAAAAAGATATTTAATAAAAATGATGAAAATACCCTGGTTACCTGTAAAGAAGAAGGATCATGGATTGCTATGATACCCTGTTTTTTTCTGTTCCATACTATTTATGGGGGCAGGGTGGAAAAACAAGCTTTTTTTTACAAAAAATATCAACAATAAGGGGACAAAGAAATGAGGGTTAAAATTTGAAATTAAGTGTGCATGATCCTAAGACTAATAGATGAAGAGAATCAAAGCTAATTTAGTAACTTCAAAGAGATTGGGAAATGTTGGGCTTCAGGGTTTAGTGACCATGGTCTAGACAACAGATTTCCTGATGCTTTGTTGACAACTGTGGCTGGTATCTTCAGAGGCAAGAGGTCTCCTTGCCTCTGAAGATGCCAGCCACGGTTGCCAGCGAAACATCAGGAAATCTGTCATCTAGGCTACCATCACTAAACCCTGAAGCCCAACACTGCTCAACGGATACTGGCTGTGGAAGCCTACAACAGTACATTCAAAGAGATTATTGCATGCAAAAGAATACAGGACTCAGTAGTGATTTCCAAAGTATTTAGGCATGTTTAACTGCAATGCACAACTGTTAATTATTTAATATGTTAATAACTGTAAATTCATGAAGATGGAACTATACTGGTAAATCAGTATCAATGGACATTAAACCTCCAGAACTATTCCTGGATAACCTACATTCGTTTCCAGAAAGCGTGCTAGAAATTCCTGCATATGTTTTTGAAAGGGATAGAAACTACGCAACAGCAGTGCTTAGTGTGTCAAAACTCTGCCTCTGATGGAACTGATTTATTAGATGGTGTTTTAATTTAATTCTCCATTTGTGGAGCAGGAATACCCTCACTCGCAGCAATAAACAGTGAATTGGTCTTATTAAGTAACACACAGCCTTTCACTTCACTCCTAGCCGTTAGAAGATGAACCGGGATACCTAGATTTCACAGTAAGCATTGGTTAAGGAAAAAACTGATAAAACTGAGTCAAGCCTATTCTATCGGAGGTAGAATCACCATTATATTCTACTCATCATCATTTCTTGCTAAACAAAAATATGACATGGGATATTTTTAATAGTTTGATAGTAAAGGATTAGCACCTCTGGACAGTGGAATTGATTCACAGATGGGAACAGTTCAAATATGTTATACCGCCAAGGCCTGTGTACAGTACCTAAAAACCCACCCACCCATCCCCATACATTGCCTGAACCTCTCTTTATGCTCCAGAATGGTTGAGGTACTGAATATTTTAGTAGGCTACCAAACCTCTTCATTTAAGGGAAATGGTAAGCTACTTAACTGGCACATGATACTTTACCACAGTTTATATACTCCAGTCAGTCAGTTCACTAAAAATGCAATCTTGAAATCTTTGGCAAGGCTCACACCCAGGTTTTATAATGAGATTGAATTAGTTTGACAGCCATTTTCATACCTGGGAGGGAGCTGTAATACACACCTAACTTTTTTTCTCTTCTTAATTCAAGCAAGGCCAGCACATGTGCTTGGTAGTAGATCTCATCTATGCTGGGCACTATTTCATGGAAGTCAGGTTTCTGTCACAGATCTAAGGCAAACATCACAATTTACAGGAAAGAAAATGAGGACATCAATACATTGTGCGTTGTTAGGAGATACACAACCTTTATAACACAGTAGCAGTTATTATTATCTCTGGATTTTCTATATCCTTTTTGCTTTGGACCATCCTCAGTTCCAGCTGGGCTGAATTAGGTTTGTTTCCTTCTCCAGCTTGGGCTTAAAACAAAACAAACAAAAAAACAATGCCAGGGAGGTTTAATATTAATATAAAGCAGTGCATAAAAAAACCCCACACCTCCCAGACCCATAACCCTCCCCACATCAATAAACTTTGCTGTCATTCTACTACAGTTTTTAGATCAGCACATGAAGGCTTATTTATGGGCCATTAATAAGAACTGTGAAATCTGCTGAGTCTCAGATATGCAGTTTTTTTGTGATGACCCAAATCTTTGGATGCCTATCCCTGGAAAATAAATATGGCCTGCTCTTGCTGACTGTTGGAGGATTTTAACAATTGGTTTATTACAATCTGCATGTTACCTTCTGCCATATAAGAATATTAGCCTTTAAAGTTTCAAAAATACTCTGGTGTTTGTAAGAGACTAACATGGATATCGTTAATGTTTGTGTTTTAGTGGAGTGGTCTGTGTGTATGTGTCTGTACCTCTCTGTGTTACTGCTATCTTCTTGTTTTTGTTCTGTTATTTTAACCTCATATACTGAAAACTGTTTCTTATGATTTATTTATTTGTACTTTGAAGTTGGGTTTTACATTCAAAAGAAGGCTAGAAAATTATTATTATTATTATTATTATTATTATTATTGTTATTAACAACAGTACTATCTTAAATAGGCAGAATAATAGCAGCAATTTGTTGCGGCTGTATACTTCCACAAAGTTCCAAGCAGGGCTTCATAGTAACATTCCTCTTTGCTGTTCTCTCTCTAGTCTTATTCAGCAGCAGGCCAATCCATTTAATTCTTGTGGCCAATACTCATAATCAGAACTATTTTCTGTAAATGTGGTAGCTTTCCCCATTCTAGCATCACATTGGCTGGAAATTCTGAGAATTGCAATTTCAATGCAGCTGGTCTATTCCACTTAAAACTATCTCTGCCCATGGCTCTTGCAACATCTTCTACATGTAAAAATAAGGTGAAAGGAAGAGAAGAGAAGAAGCAAGCATCATAATTTCCTTTCCTTTCTCTAATGATAAAGCTACAAATTGTGGCCCAAATTAAGGCAGTTCAGGAAATGACTGGATCCAGTGTTTCAAAGATCTGTTACAAACAGATTAGTTAATTACTTTCTGCCAGAGGTATAAAAATTTAAACAATTCCTATAGCATATGAAACAGTGGATTAATTTAGTCAGTATTGCAAGGACACTTACACATAAATCTGTTATTTTGGCTGGGCTGTTACATAAAATTCCTGTTGTCACTATTACTGAAGAAGTAATAGTAGCCTGTTTTGCACATAATGTAAAGCCACAGGCGAGTGGATTCTCACATTATATGATGCCACCCCCCCCCCAACCAATCACATTATGACTTAGACTATGTGGAAGTGCAGCAACTTACTGGATTCACACAACAGATTGGGCTAAATGTGGTTGATAATTAGTGCTTCATGTGAGCCTTGTCAGTATGATTTAGAGTTTAATGTGTTGTTCAAACCCAGTTAATTCATTAAACCATGAGTTAGTATGTTATATGAACAGAGCCACTGAGTCAGCAGAGAAATTTAGCTTCCCATTAATCTCCTTTATTATCTGTTAACCTGATCCTTTCAGCTGAAGATACAAGAAATTGAACTGAGGACCTTTTACATGCAAAGCACATGCTAAGTCACTCAGCGATGACACCTTTTTAGTAAGCCTTCTAACAATAAATGAATATATGCAGAAGCATTATGAAAATAACCTACCCTTTGCACTCTTGATGGTCCTTTGCAAAACATGTTGCATTGCTGATATAGTCTTTTCACAGGCCATCTGCAATTGAAAAAGAGGGAAAAAAACGGTTTTACAGTATTACCATTTCATTGACTCTGGCCAGATTGAATATTGACTGACATTTCAAATAATTATTTAAATTAGATAAGAAATACAAATCAAGGTGCTTTACTCTTTAAATCACTTTCTGGTTTAGAAAAGCTAGCCTGACTGACACACCGTGCTAAGCCTGCCAGAAGTTGGTTTGTTTTTTGGTTTGGTGAGTGAAATTACAAACTGTGGCTTAGCATTAGTCCAAAGTTTGTGCAGGATCATTTTCATTATGCTAACACAGAGGTTTAGCATCATTTCTAAATAAGGCTGTTTGTTTTAGAATGTTTGTGGCCATCCATTGTAAACAAGTAATACATAGCCTTATTTTGTATAATCTCTTGATCCTGTTCAGAACAAAAACAGACAAACATTTTTTCTATAACTGATACAGTAGAAGAACTGAAAAATCTTTCCATACCTTAAGATTGTCTGGGTGTTTGTGAGTCCAAGCCAAGAGCATGGCAGCAAATAGGTCTCCTGTTCCAACAAAGACAGCATCTACTTTGGGAGACTCCATTCGGATCCTTTGTGTCACTATAGTGCCATCTGCTGTAGCTATTAAGGCATTAACTATTAGTTATATTCTTCTCAGTTATGCAATCATATAGGAATGGTATAGCTTAGCATGGCTTTGTTATACATTACAATAAATCCAGGGCCCAAATATAGAAGCACTGATGCTGGACAGCTATGAACAATATTGTGTGTATGATACAATTCTGTGGGAGCACAGGAAAAAATAAAGTATTGGACTTTGTCACTGAACTGAGTTGGGCTAGTGGATTTTGCAAAGTTAAGGATTTTTTCCTTAATCTTTAGGCACAGCATATGCCTTTCCTGATAGCCTCCTCTTTCAATGCAGACTCGGAATCTCTTGGAGAATGTGGAATGAAAAGTATAGAAGTGAAATTAGTTACTTCGCTATTGACTCAATTACACTTTTTGAACTGTGATAACATGCTGCAATGAGTCAACATGTTAGAATAGCTGTTTCATTCACAGTGGTTTCCTTCACCCCCTGACATCTGGGTGTACAGTATATACAGCTCCTTGTGATCTGGAATTCTGTGTAATTGGAGTTCCAGATCCTGTGAGGCTTCTGCATGATGTAGGTGGCATATCTAATTCACATAAGTTATTTATGCAGTGATTCAGTACCTGAACACTTTGAATTAAACTCAAGTAAATACTAAAGGTATACAGTATAACCATCTATTTTAAAAGGAGGGGGGCATAGAGAATGGAAGGGTGAATCCCTTCCATTTAAAATAAGCCTGCATCAAAAGAAATGCAACTTGCAATGGGAACAAGTACACCTAGCCGTTCTTAGAAAATGTTATTTTTTAATTGCCTAATATATCTCTTGAATAAACTTGCATCATGACTATTACTGAAGAGGGCAGAGTTATGATCAGCCTATGAACTGTAGTCTTCCTTCATGTTGTAAATAAGATTCTTTTATAGGACATTATTAAAGCAATGTTCTACCAATTATAAAATCACTTACTCATATTAAGAGATGCCTGTTCAAAAACAAACCCTATTTAGTTCAAAGGTCCATACTCTCAAGTGAGACAGGATTGCAGCTTAAATATTTCTTGGAATAAAGCTTATATGTTTCTGCAATTTGTGCTTTATACATTTGAGTAGTATCTGAAAACAAAAGCATTAATTTTACTTTCTTATAACAGAAATGGGAAAAATTGGGTAAGCGTCATGATACTTGTTTCATAAATACTCATACGATAGACAAGGCTATTGATTAAAAATGAAACATACTTCTCCTTTGGCTTCCTAATGCAATCAGATAATCATTTCCTGAAGGTGCCTGAAGGTCTGAGCTGGTGATTACAACCGTTTCTGGTCCCATATTGTGCAGCATATCCATTACCTTTCCAAACACACGAGGGAAAAACGGTTAACACTAATATGTGTATTTGCAAGACAGAGACTATGGTTCTTGGGACGTCAATGTCCAAACTGCATGCATTTTGATATGAAATATAATATGAAAAAGAAATTTGTTTCATAGCTTCAATGATTTAAAACTCTCCTTATCATAAGAAATCAAACTGCTTCAGTGCATGCTGGTACACAGAAATCTCTTAGACCTGATTTATTCAGCCACTAGATCAGTGTTGTCCCAAACTATTTCCCTCTTCTTATTGGGGGGGTTTTTATCCCCCCGTCATCCCCCCACCCACGAGGGTGACTGGGGG